ATTATTATTATTAAAAACATGCCATTTGAATAGCCACTGAGAGCTTTAGCCTACCATTCGCAATGGACGCCTGCTTTTAACTATAATATCGACTTAATTTTAATTTTGATTATGTTTATGTTATTTTATATTATTGCCACAGTTTTAAACCGCCCAGAATGACCATTGGTTCAGATGGGCAGGAATGATGGAATGAATGAATGAATGAATATTTCAAATTAAAGTGCTTCCTGCCAGCAACAGAGGCTTGGGAAGGGCATTTCAGCATTTTGCAATGGGAAAAATCGGAAATGATGATCTTGTGTGGACATCTGGAGCACTCTGAAGGACTGGATTTGGACCCTGAGATCCTAGGACCCAGTGCAAAAATAGCATTAGAGCCCAGTCATTCTCATTCCTGATACTAGGAGCTTTGTTTGGTGTAGAAGATCCTCCTCTCGACATAATTTCTGTCTGAAGCTTTTGCAACTGAGCCACGAAATCCAAGAGTGCAGGGCGGGGGCAGGCAGTCTTGTCTTCAATCTGTTTTTCCACCTTTTTTTTGTTTTAATTTTAAAGTTCAAGAATACAAGTTTTCCCACTTGTTGATCCAGCTGGATACAGCAGACTGCCTCCCCCCCCCAACCCATTTAATTGAAAAAGTGGTCATATGCTGTCTCTTCTCTTGTTAGATCTTCACTTGCTGATTCATAAACATTTGCCTAATAAATTCATCTGTTTAATTTGCTGCGTTGAATTGCCAAGCACCCTTGGCAATTCTGCACCGTGTTGATTTTGCCTTTGGAAATATTTACTCTTTCTGTTTTGTTTTGTTTTGGTTTGCTTTATTTATTACGGAAAGCATCAGGACTTCGTTTCTGCTTTCGCGCTTCTTGGTTTCTCTGGTGTTCTCCCTTGTGTGTTCCTTCTTATCCGTTGATTCGCTGTGGTTTTTGCGTTTGGTGACCTTTCTTTCCATTGAGAGAGAACCCTTTATTGGAAACGCACACACAAAAGGCACGGCTCAGGCATCTGCTGTTGCCTTTTATCATCTCTGAATGGATTTGGTTTGCTATCAAGTCACAGATGTGCGGTGGCAGAGACAGAAGCATAAAGACATTGTTGTAGGGCTCAGAAAGGAGGGCGGCCGAGGAAATGTATTTTGATGGTAAATGCTGCCTTGGCCCCCATCTTTCAGAACGCTATTATGCACCCAAGACACCTAATGGCAGTTCAATGCTGGGCTGGGGGGAGAGATGGCCAGGCTTGGTGGTCTGGACTGCTTGGCCGGGTGAAGTGATTACTCTTGCAGAGTTTTGCATGTTTGTTTAAACTCTTCTAGCGGTGCAGCAGAAGTGCAAAGATTCACAGCGCAGGTTAGCTTCAAGTCCCGCACGTTAGTCTCCCCCTTTTCTCATTAACTGGCACCTACAGTCTCAGAAAGTCACTCTTAGACATCAGGGGTAGAAAGAATAAAAACCGTTTCCTTTATTTACAGTGAACAGCAAACCAACAAACACAACTGCTTTCAGCAACTGACTTTCATAGTTTGTAGAGAGGGGAAGAGCTCTGAGCAGAGAGGTGGGGCTCTCTTTGAATGCGGAGGCAGGAAAGGAATGATTGGTTAGCGCTGGATAGTCAGTCCAGCCCAGAAAAGTCCCTCCCAGCTAATCCTACTAAAAGCAGCATGCAAGGCTGCAAAATCTCCTGCATGACAACGACTCGCTCTCACTTTTAAGGGGTGGAGTGGTTGCAATGATTGCTCAGCTTCATTTTTTTTTAAAAAATTAAAACCTATAAACTCCGTAGAGGCCAGAGTCTCTCTCGTCTGCTAATGGTGCCGTGGTGCTCGGTAGACCTCGATGCCAATTTCTACTTGGCTGCATATCATATTGGGAACCCATGAGTCAGAAGGGAGAAGTGCCACGTAATGCCACCTTGAGTTCTTTGTAGAAAAGGCAGACTTTCAATGTAGCAAATCCAGAAATGCTGGGTATACAGTTGGTACTGGATAAACAATAATATATTTATATACAGTGGTGCCCTGCATGACAACGACCCCGCAGAACGACGAAATTGCATGATGATGACTTTTTTGCTATTGCTATAGCGTTCGCAAAACGATGTTTCCTATGGGGGATTTTTGCAAAACAATGTTTCCTAAGGGGGGTTTTCGTTTGACAACGATTAGGTCCTTGCCTCGCGAACTGTTTGTTCACAAAACGATGATCAACAACGATTAGGTCCTTGCCTCGCAAACTGTTTGTTCGCAAAACGATGATTTTTCCGGCTCCGGGTAGTGAGACTATGACTCCCAGGAAGCACCACAGCAACTCCCTTTTCAGTACATTGCCACCAGGAAGGAAGGCCGGAACTAGGCCATGCAGCCCCAGAGATAGACCCTGGCCCAGGTGAGCAGAATTTAGGTGTCTGCAAGTACAGTGGTGCCCCGCTTTACGATTACCCCACAACATCACGCTTCATGACGTTTTTGCGATCGCAAAACGATGGTCTAAAGAGGGTTTTTTCGCTTTGCGATGATCGGTTCCCTGCTTCAGAAACCGATTCTTCGCAAAACAATGTTTTTTTAACAGCTGATCGGCAGCTTCAAAATGGCCACCGGGTAATAAAAATGGCTCCCCGCTGTGTTTAGGGACGGATTCTTTGCTATACAGGCACCGAAAATGGCTGCCGTATGGAGGATCTTCGCTGGATGGTGAGTTTTTAGCACATTGGAACGCAATGAACGGTTTTCAATGTGTTTCAATGGGATTTTTATTTTCGCTTTACGATGTTTTCGCTTAACAGGGATTTTCCCGGAACAGATTATCACCGTTAAGTGAGGCAGCACTGTATGGGTTTGTGGAACGGAACTCTGCGAGAATTTTGCCTGCAGAATTCTTGGAAAATTCTGAGAGCTGGAGTCCCAAAAGGAAAGAAAGAATAGTGTGTCCCTGTTGCTTGCTCCCCATCAGGTTCTGTAAATATGGTTTTTGCTGTGCAAAAGAGAAGGGGTTGCAATTTTCTGATTCATCTCTGGTGCTGCAAGAGAAATGACTAGATGATTGCAGGGCTCTCAAAATCAACAGCTCTCAAAGCCAGCAAAATACTTTCTGTCCAATAGAAGCTCTCTTGGCCTCCTGTATAAGCTAGATTCCATCATTTAGCTGTGCTCCCTGATTCACTTTGATATGTCTCTGGTACAGTGTAGTGCCCCCAAAGGTCACCCTGAAATGAGTGTATCAGTCTTAAAGCCATAACTTCTTCTGTTTTGGTTTTACGTACAGTGGTGCCTCGCAAGACGGATGCTCCGTTTTACGACAAAACCGCTTGACGTTGACTGTATAAGCTAGATTCCATCATTTAGCTGTGCTCCCTGATTCACTTTGATATGTCTCTGGTACAGTGTAGTGCCCCCAAAGGTCACCCTGAAATGAGTGTATCAGTCTTAAAGCCATAACTTCTTCTGTTTTGGTTTTACGTACAGTGGTGCCTCGCAAGACGGATGCTCCGTTTTACGACAAAACCGCTTGACGTTGACTCGACTCTGTACGACAAAACCGCTGACGTTGACTCTTTTGCGATCACAAAACAATGTTTCCTATGGGGGAATTTCGCTTTGCGATGATCGGCTCCCTGTTTCGGGAACCGATTTTCGCAAAGCGACGATTTTCACACAGCTGATCGTCGGTTTCAAAATGGCCACTGGGTTAAAAAAATGGCTCCCCGCTCTTTTCTGGGACGGATTCCTCGCTGCACAGGCAGTGAAAATGGTCGCGCTATGGAGTATTTTCGCTGGACGGTGAGTTTCAAGCCCAGCTATGGAGTATCTTCCCTGGACGGTGACTTTCAAGCCCATAGGAACGCATTAATCAGGTTTTAATGCATTTCTATGGGCTTTTTAATTTCGCATTACGATGTTTTCGTTCTACATCGATTTCACTGGAACGAATTAACGTTGTAATGCAAGGCACCGCTGTATTTTTGTTGCTGAAGCCCACTAACACGGCTACTTCTCCGTTGTTTATATCTTCCCTGGACGGTGACTTTCAAGCCCATAGGAACGCATTAATCAGGTTTTAATGCATTTCTATGGGCTTTTTAATTTCGCATTACGATGTTTTCGTTCTACATCGATTTCACTGGAACGAATTAACGTTGTAATGCAAGGCACCGCTGTATTTTTGTTGCTGAAGCCCACTAACACGGCTACTTCTCCGTTGTTTAGTATGTAGTTTTTATTTTTATTTTTTTGTATGTTTTAATAAAAATTGTGTTTATTGTTGTTACCATTTGATTATAGCGCTGAAATTTGGAGTGCGTTCCCAATCCTGCAGTAAGGATTTAGTTTTAAGAGATGTGTTCCCAGACTCTGAAAAGTGAGAAGCGAGAATTTGCCCCAAGGCAGGGAAAAGCTGCAGGGACATAAAAAATCTTTACAAAAGTAACTTCTGGTTTTATTAGCTGTGGTTAGCAGTGCTAATCAGTCTTAGTCCAATAGAAATTCTCTTTTTTCATTAATAAAAGAAGCTTTTAAGCAAGTTGGTGTGACAAATATGGTTTCTGATCTAATAGATCTTTCTAGTTAACTAAGCTGCATTATCACACATGGGTTTCATGTTTAAAAAATGTAAAAAAAAATCATGTAACTTGACTTTTACAGTGCTGTGCTATGCATGCTTACCCAAAAGAAATTCTTACCGATTTGGTCCATTCACACCATGATTACTGAAGCCAGGATTCATAGTTTAAAGTGACACCCAGACGTGACCAATCTTAGTGGGAGTTTCTCCTGGAAACTGGACGTAGCTTTACAACTTTAATGGACTTGCAGTTTTAGGTATTTTCTTTGCTTTGCAAATTGTTTTTAACTAATTGTTTGAGTGCCCTGTCTTATGAAAGATGGGATTGAACTACATTAAATGTAACTTTTTTTAGAAGGGGGAAAAAACACAAAACTTCTGATGTTCTTCCAGGATGTGTGCTGTGTTTGGTGGGATCTATTGTCTGCGCCACGCCGTGCAGTGTCTTGTCGTAGACAAAGAAACGAGAAGGTAAGGATTGTGAAGAAGTGGTAACCTTCCCTCTTTTTTATACACATACGGGATGAAAAATGCCAGAGTCAATTTTTAAAAAATGGTTCTTCAAAGATCTTCCTTGGTATTAATAACACATCAACCTTGATTAAAAGTAATTTGTGTACGGGTCCTCCAGAACAAGGAAAGTGGGTTTAGAATATAGAAACTAAATTAATTTCCCTGCGATATTACTGCAGCCTCCTGATCACCCAAGCTTGGAAGACAAATCATTTCGGTTGCCGGGGGTCTGGTGATGAGTGATGTTAGTTTTCCTTGTGGCCTTACCTACTCTAATTGATTTTCATCAGATGACAACAAAGCCCTCTGTTATTGCATTTTTAAAAATGAAGCTCACCTAAAGACTCATCAGATTAATCTTTGCTGATAATGCATGTCACTCTAAGAGAAAGGGCTTTAATGAGTTTTTAGGTAGATTGTTGTCATAAACTATGCTGCCCTCTTACCGGAGGATGGATCCTTTTTTGCAACCGTCTCAGGCTTCTTCCGAGCAACTTTTTAAAGCTGGGAACCCAATCGGCCAATGTTTCTTTTTGTTCTAAAATCCCTGCCGCTGTGAACGGGCATATCAAAGACATGTGAGTTTCCAGCTCGATGACCATATTAATTCCATAGCAACAAAATCAAGAAAGACGTGTATGACACTTTCAAATTAACAAGTGTTGTTTGTATAAGTTTCTATGGAATCGCCTCTAGTCCACAAAAATGTATCTGTTGCCTTATATGCCATCTTCTCTGTAGCTGCTCCTAGGCTGTGGGATGTCCAGGTTGCCCCCTACCCCCTTGTCCTTCCAGTCACAGCTGAAGGCCACGCGTTTCAGGCAGGCTTTTAACAGATAACTGGGCAGTGAAGGGTTTTGATTCTGGGAGCTGCATACAGTGGTGCCTCGCTAGACGATAATCCGTTCCACTGAAATCGCTGTTCAGCGAAATCATTATCTAGCGAAAAGCATTTCCTCATTGGAGTGCATTGAAACCTGTTTAATGCGTCCCAATGGGCAAGAATCGTCGTTGTCTAGCGAAGATCGGCCATAGGAAAGCCGCTTTGCAAACCGCCGATCAGTTGTTTAAATAGCTGTCTTGCGAAGCTTAGGTCCCGAAAACACCTGTTTTGCGAGCGCAGAGGAAGCTGTCAAAATCATTGTCTAGCAAAAATCGGTTTGTGAAGCAGGGACCAAACATTGTCCAGCGAAATTCCCCCATCGGAATCACTGTTTTGCGAATCGCTATAGCGATCGCAAAAAGTCAAGGTCTAGCAAAAAAAACTGTCATGCGGGGTAACTGTCTAGCGAGGCACCACTGTATAGTATGTTTTACTCTACCATTTAAGGTATTTTTCAACAGTTTTAACTAATTATTTTAATACATGCTGAATTTTTTTAATTGCAATAATTCATTCTCTTTTAAAAATCTGCTTTGTATTTTAATAATATTTGGATCCCTGAACTGGGAGAAAGGTGGCCTAGAAAATAAAATTAAGTAAGTAAGTAAAATACTGCAAATTTACCTTTCATGTTGCCATAATGGATGGATAGACAGACAGAGGTATGTTTTCATGATCGTTTGTGAGCTAGATAGATAAAAGTGCGCTTCATAATATGCTACAGGACACTCTTATTTAATCATCATCATCATCATCTTAGAACTTCAAGGGATTCTATGGATCATCAAGGGAGGTACAGTGGGAAATCAAACTCCCTACCTAAATCATGGAGCTATCCAGCGGTTCTGTTTTCCCCTGTCTATCTGTTTTGCTTAGTAAGTCAGAGGAATTATTGCATTGCTTCTTAGCTTCACAGTCTATCAGCTAAGTCCAACAACCAAATCTTTAAGTATCTACCGTTTCCCCAAAAATAAGACCTAACCTGAAAATAAGCTCTAGTATGGTTTTTCAGGATGCTTGTAATATAAGCTTTACCCCCAAAAATAAGCCCATGTTAAGTGAAACCCTGCCCTCCACCATTGTGCAGCAACCGGAAGAAGATGACATAACTATATTTGAATAAATGTAGATGGCTGTACATGGAAAAAAAAAACACCCCCTGAAAATAAGCCCTAATGTGTGTGTTTTGGAGCAAAAATTAATATAAGACCCTGTCTTATTTTCAAGGAAACAGGGTACCTAGATGCAGGTGCCATTGAATTCAGCAGATATGGCTACACTTGTAGGAATAAGATCTTAGGCTTTTTGAATCAGAGTCCTACGCTTTCTAATAACACGTTTGGAACCTTTCTGGTAAAGCAATAAAATTAACAGTGCAGGTTCTTCCAAATCAATTAAATTCTTAGCCAAAGTTATCAATTTCCTTTGGGGGGGGGCAGGTGGCAGTTTTTTAAAAATATATATATAATTAGATGCTTAACCTGCTGTTTGGTCTCAAGATGAGTAACAACATTTATTTAAGAAACAATATGATGATCTGTCAGTAAGAGAGATCCTCTTCCTCCCCCACCCCGTTTATGCATGCACACATGAGCCAGAGGTACTCATGCTAGTCCACAGGGTGTGTGGGGAATCCGACAGCGGTCTAGTACGTTTCACTCATACCAGCTAAAATATCAAGATGTCGTGAGTGAGCTTTGTCCTAGAGGAATGTGGAGTGAAAAAACATGACGTGGAGATCCAGTCTGAAACAAGTTCACAAGAAAGAGATTTTATATACCTTGATTCAGTCATCAGTCTGAATGGACTCTGCAAGCAAGAAATCGGGAGAAGACTGAGACTACGAAGGGCAGGAAGGAAGGAATTAGAAAAGAGCGTCAAGTGTAGCTGCGTGTCGTTGGAGACCAAGTTGAAGATCATCTAATTTGTTTGAAATGTGGTGCTGGAGGAGAGCCTTGCAGATAACCTGGACTGCCAGAAAGACAAACAAATAAGTCCTAGATCAAATCAAACCTAAACAATCTCAGGAGGCAAAATTGTTAAGACCGAGGCTGTCCTCCTTTGGGCACATCCTGAGAAGGCAGGGTTCTCTGGGAAAGACAGTCGTACTGGGAAAGGCGGAAGGGAGCAGGGAAAGAGGAAGGGAAAAAAATACAAGATGGACTGATTCCTTAAAGGAAGCCACAGGCTTGAATTTGCAAGAACTGAGCAGGGCTGTTGAGGGCGGGACATTTTGGAGGTCACTCGTTCATGGGCCCGCTGTAAGTCGGAGGGAACTTGACAGCACAGACCAATGAGAAGAAGGCACTCCCAGCTTGGTCCCTTAGCCTAGGACTGATCCTGGAGCTTAGAAGCATTCCTTTAAAAAACAACAACAAAAAAATGGAAACACTGCAACTACCCAAAGCTTGATGGATTGTGGGACATTTTGTTCTCAAAAAGTTACAGAAAAGTTGGCCTGAGACAGAGGGGACTGGACAGCACAGCACAGAACAACAACAACAACTTTTCCAATTAACCTGTACTTTAGCGTTAAAAAAGAAGACGCAGTGTGCTGCCCTTCTGGAAGGCAAGGGATTGAACTAGATGGGCTGGTACTCTAAACGGCAACACACTTCAAGGCAACTTAAAGTGTGTTGCCATCTCCCGTTTCGCTCTGCAAGTCCAACACCCTGAGCTAATGCCAGTTATGCTGATGGTCTTTCCGCAAGTGTGTGTAAATCTTATTTTGTATTGTGGGAGTGGGGGTGGAAATTGGCGAAAAGCAAAGTTTAGAGATATGTCCTCCTTCTCGTTCAAATAACGTGCTTTCTGTTCTGCTCATCATGCTGAATACCCATCAAATCGGTTGCTTGCTTGCTTCGCAAATGAGAATCTCCTCATGAGTTTTGCCTTTAGGGGAATGAAAATTGAATTTCCCTCCCGATTAGTTTTCGTTCCTTTTTTTAATTTTGCCTCTCCCTCCCTTTATGCAGTATAGATCTTGCTTATGTGGCTTCATTTGATAAGATTTAAGGTGTTTTAATTTACATCTGTATATTTTGAGTGGGGCTTACATTAAAAATAATTGCCTACGTTTTACTTGGAGCTGAGTTTTAAGTGCGTTTTCAGTGAAACCATCCCGGTCTCCAACAGAAAAGATGTGACAAATGTAAATTTATATTTCCATAATAAAAAAAAAGATGTAGCAAACACTGTAATTTACATATCTTTCCTGAAATATTGCACACTGGCTTTGTCAGTGCTGGTAAGTCCATTTCAAGGATGTCGCCCTTAGTCCATTAGTTTGGATAATGAGCCCTATAAAGTACATTTATAACTGGTGGCACTTGGCAAGAGATGGATTCTAATTTTCATCCTTTTATCTAGACACATTGAAGAAGGTCAATGGAGGGTTGGGTATGATTCATTGTCCTAACACATATCAGATGACAGAGACCTGATAATGTCATTGCATAAGTGTTTTCCTTATTTGAACGTGGCCCTTGAAGAGAATTCTTCTGCTGATCCTCCTTTTTTAAATCTTTTTTTTTTAATCTTAAGAAAAAGTAGAAACTGTATTAAAAGGCTCGTGCCGTTCTCTCTCAGCCTCTGCTTTTGGGATAAAACCGTAGCAAACATTTGCCTTGTTAACCATCACCAGATTTTAAAAAGGGGAACTATGGACCACCCTTCCCTCCTTCCATTCTATTCTTCGGAATATTGTAACATGACATTTAATCAACTTTGGGGGTGTTGTTTTTCCCCCCCTCCCACCAGAACATTCAGAGTGAAGGGAGAAATTGGTTCAGAAACAGTAGGAAAGGTTATAATTAGAAACAGAGTGTGCCCACTGGACTGGCTTGTTTGTAAGCTGCATCTAAAATGAGAGCAACTGGAATCCATCAACTTCAGAGCGGATAAATAAAAGGAATGTTTTGCGTTGCAAGTGGAACCAACGTCCTGCATTCTTACCCTGTTCATCATTCTGCTTTTTCAAATTCACTGCTTTCTCTAAAGAATAATTAGGCAGCTCAATCAGCACTGAATCCGTAATAGGAATTCAGCAGAATTTGGAAGACATCTAAATTTGCAAAAATCTAAGAAACCTTTCGAAAGGAGACCTGCAGGCTAGGAGGCCAACCAGCCCATGGAGGGTTGGTGGGCATGGAATGGTGATGTTGGGGGGTGGATGGGCTGATAGCTTGGGAGGGGCAGACTTGAACAGTGTGTCTTGGGAAAGAGCATGAAGAACAGTACCCTATTTCGTTGCCGCTCTCAGCCTTCAGTGAGAATTCCTTTAGAAGGGGTTAATCATCTTCGAACTGCAGAGCTGGAAGGGATTCTCGAGTTACAAGAAAAGCAGCATAAATCCACACAGAAAACACATTGCAATAAAACCAGTGAGATGAATTTAGTTGGTACTCCTAGCTAGAGCGGATCAGTGAATGAACGGGACTTGCTGAACCCACATGATATGACAAGTCCCATTGGTTCATGGGGTCTGTAGTAGGTGAGGACGGACAACTTCATTTAGCACAATACGTTCAAAACGGCCGATTTTTATAAACCCCTGAAATACTTTTCAAAAATACTTCTAAAACCGGAGTAGATTCCAGCAGCTTTATGTGGCTCCTTAGCAATAGCTAGTTGATCCCGGGGGGGGGGTTTCTCTTCGGGTGGGGTGGGCTTCCACAACTTAGGTGTCACCCCTGAAGGAGACTTCCAAACTCACCTCACTTGGTTGAGGAGGGTGGAAAACAGCCTTCATGGATCAGTGAAAGACAATGACGTTGGAGGACCGTGGTCATTGAGTCTACCCCCATGGTGCCAATATGTGGCCTTCCAGAGGTGCTTGGAGGGCAAGACGCATCAGCACTAGGCAGAACGAGGAAAGCTGGGATTAGGAGGCCAACCACATCTGGAGGGCTACACTTTGTCCACTCCTGGTATGGCCAGGACTAAACTACTGTAAATGAGAATCGGTTTGACTTGGTGCATTTCAGACAGCTTCCTACTTCTGTGTTGAGGATATGGGACCGGGTGCCTTGCCCATGCACAGACCCCAGTGGGGTGCTCCTTCCAGCGTATTCTAACTCACCCCTCCAAAAGAAGGAAAGATGGTTGGGGGGCCTTCATGGTCCTCCTCCTCCTGGCCTTCAAGCTTGTTCTGAGAACAGCTGGTTCCAACTTTGTTTTCTCCCTTTTACAGGCGGCTCTTTGAGCTACTCACGGGGCTGTTCTGCTCTTTGTCTCTCTCTTAACCTTACTTGAGAGTTGCCTCAGGATTAGACTTTTCTGCCATAGCTTTTTCTTTTTTTTAGCTATGGAACTTTTCGGGGGCTCCAGCATCTCACACACAGCAAAGACCTACTGCTCCCCACGGCCTCTTGATCCAGGCTGTAATTCCCTCTTTTGTTCAACTGAGAGGACCTCTTTGTTCCTGTTGCTGTTTCTACCGGCCATTGTAAAGAGGGCACGTCTCAGTTTTGTAGAACTGAGAAGTGTGATTTTTATACTGTTCATGTGGCGCCTTTGCTGTTGTTCTTAGAACTCTCGGGTATTGAGTTCTGACCATTTTGGACACCCCACAACCTTTTCTTCCCGATGTGGATGCAAGAGCACAAGAGGAGCCTGCTGGATCGTACTGAAGATGAGAGGTCCATGTTCTCCTTTCCCAGTGGGGGCAGTGTCTACCAGAAGCCCACAGACAGAACATGGATGCCATAACACGCTGCCTCTCATATTTCTGAGCGAGTGGTGTTCAGAGATACACTGCCTCTGATGCTGGAGGCCATAAACAGGCAGGGTAGACACACTTCTGGCTCCTATAACAATCTTAGAACTACAAAGCTGGAAAGGACCCTAGGGATCATCAGCCCAGCCCCAGGAGGCCTAGTGGGGGATCGAACTCCCAACCTCTGGCTCCACAGCCAGAGACTTAAACCAATGAGATATCCAGCTGTTCCTCTTTGTACTACACTTCCCACCATCCCTAGCCAGCATCCTCCATGTGAATGGAGCATCTTGGTCGGTGGCTGTTGCTGTTGCTGATGCAATACAGGTAATGTCATAAGATCATCCTCCATGTGAATGGAGCATCTTGGTAGGTGGCTGGCTGGTGCTGCTGCTGATGCAATACAGGTAATGTCATAAGAATTCTAGTCTTCAGTGCCTGGCTCTGAGGAAGCACTTCATGCCTTTAGGCCTGGCTGGCTCTCTTTGAGAGCCGCACGAATTTCTCTGTGCGGTTCAGACTGCTGTCCACAGCGCCTGCCTGCGTTTGTCTCAGAGCTTCTGCTTTTACTTGCTGGAGAGCTTGGCCTGCTTCTGTTGCTCTTCCGGAAATCTTACAATGTAATTCATGTGTTGTTTTTTTTCATTGGGTCTTCTCTTTCCCTTTCTCTCCTTTTTCAACAGGTGTAAAGCCATCATAGATCATTTTGGACAGAGGATAAGTGCTAGCTACTTTGTTGTGGAAGACAGTTACCTTTCTGAGAAAATATGTGCAAATGTGCCTTACAGGTAAATACCAAAGTAGGGATAAGGGTGACTAACAGTGTATTCCAGTACAGGTCTACTTAGAAAGAGGTCTCCTTGTATTCAGTAGCACTTCCTCTCGGGTAATTGATTCTAGAATGCTTTGTTCTGTGCCATTAAGTCAGAACCGACTTGGAAGTCTTGTATTCCGTAGCATTTCCTCTCGGGTAATTGTTTCTAGAATGCTTTGTTCTTTGCGATTAAGTCAGAACCGACCTCTAGTGACCCTAACAGGGATTTCAAGGTAAGTGAGGTAGTTAAGGAGTGGTTTTGTGAGTTCCACGTCTCCCCCTGTAGTTTTTCCCCCTCAACGAGGCCACCAGTGTGCAAGGTTTGTGGAATCTCAACCAAGGAAACCGGCCACTAGAAAGTTTAAGTCCCGTCTCCTCCCCTGGCAGCTGTTTATTAACATGGAAGATATGTCATGAAGTATGATCTCCAAAATATTACGTGCTTTAGATCCTATGAGAAGGAGAAAATATAATTTTCTTTCACTTGAAGGGAAAACAAACACCAGTATTTCATGACAACAGTAACGAGGAAGTGGTTTCTTGGGTCTTCTTTCTGAATCGAGGTCCTGTTTCTGTCCTATCCGTCCCTTGTGTATTAAAATCTTGAGTCTGGTCGGCTGACAGGACTTTTCACCTGACTTTTATATCACATCAGTGTTCTTTTTTAAAATGCCCTTGTTCTGCTGTTGGACAAGTAGCCTCATCAAAGACTCAACTTGAGAGTGTCTTGAAGGTGCGTGGAATTGAACCGTTTTGTATTTTACACCCCTTCCTCCACTGTGCTTCATTTAGGCCATTAACCTTTGCTGAAGCAATTATTAGCCAGTTAATAGCTATTTAAGAACATTAAACATCTCCAATAGTGCTGTTGAGGGTGAACCCAATGGTCTATTTGGTCCAATTCCTCTTTCTCTCAATGGCCAATACTGGATGCTTCAGAAGGCATATCACCAAAATAAGATCATTAAGGGCGTCATCTGTCCCTTTTCCCTTCACTCTGAGTTCACTGTCTCAATTCATAGGAAGTTACACTTTTGTTTGAACTTAGGGCAGCTTCACACCGAATGTTTAAAGAGCTGAAACGGCTGCTTCTTTCCAACCCTTTTGGTGTAGCATGCAAACATGGCAGAACTTTGAAAGGGATGTTTAAGAATGAACGTAAGGCGATGCGGAAGCCATCCAGTGGCGAGCCTTCAGGGCCCCTGCGCTGTATGTCCCTCCATAAATAGGTCTGTTTCGGTCCCACCAACCTCACACTTATCTTTGGTGGACAACACCTTCCTTGGTGGCAACTCCCAGACTCTGAAAACTCTCTTGCAGAGGAGGTGATGCTGGCTCCCGCTGCTGTAGTCCTTCACCTTACAAGCTGCCGCCTTTAGATTTAGCGGGTGTTTGTGCTGCTCAAGGGCTGGATAAGGAATAAGATCTTCATGGAAAATCTTACACATTTTCTGTTCTTTTTGTTATCTTTCACATTTTTTTTTTTAAAAATTGCTTTTCGTTCTTTTGTGATCCTATGGTAATCTGTTTGATCGTGTTCTTACAGTGCAACGTCTTCAGTTTTAACTAGAACTCCATTCCTTCCTTCCACTTGTAGATATCACCCCATAATGCTTAATCGTGCTGTGAGGAGTCTTGAGTGCTAGGGCAGCAGGATCTCCTCCATCCGTGGGATCCCTATCCACGGATTCACTTATCCGCTGCCTGAAGCTCCTTTTTAAAAAATATCACAGAAATACATATTTATACATACTTCCAGGATTTGTTTACCAGAACTGGCTGGTAGAGAAGCTAGAGACCATGCAATGTATAGCATCCGTGGAACTGACCACAACCACTCCCCGTGGATACGGTCGTCCTACTGTATTAGGAGAAAGCCATAATAAATTACTCAGTCAATCCAGCAATCACACTGTCTTTATTCAGTTCTGGATGGCTTTAGCAACTTGTGGTATTGATGCTTCTTAAAACTAACTTTCCAAGCTCAGAAACATGGGGGCCGTGGACATATCAGAAGTCCTGTGCTGGAGGAGACCAGTCCAGTCTCCCGCTACCCACACTGGCCAATCAGGTGTCCCATCAGGAAACCTGCAAGAAAGGACACCTGAGAGCAGTATCTCTCTTCTGCTGTTGTTCCTTGGCAACTGATGCCTCAGCGCTTCTGCAAGCCCCAATTGCTGGGAGACATCAGAGAAAGAGAGAGCCTGTTACTGCCCTTGCATCCTGTTTTGCCAGCCTCCGAGAGGCATCTGGTTTGTCGTTGCAAGACACGGCGCTGAACTAAATGTTTCTTTGGTCTGCTCTAGACCAAGGTAGGGTTCCCACTTCTTCCTACAAATTTGAATAGTCTCTCAGTGTTAAATCCATTGTAATTTGTGCTTGGACTCTAATCCCTTTTATTGATGAAGGAACTGAACAGCATGAGAGCTGTTATTGACCCTTAGAGAAACTCGCTTTCCAGTCTATTTTCTGATGATTTATTATCCCACTTTTGCATGCGGTTCCTTGGCCAACTTCATTATATTAGAGTTTTGTCCGGGCCATGGTTTTGAGCTCTGTTTTAGAAAAGGGTTGTGGGACTATCTAAAGGTCTCACTGAAGCCTGAGCATGTAATTCTGGCCTGTGTCTTCCTCTTCCCTGTGCCATTCATTACATTGTCTAGGAAGGAAAGACGGTCCAGCTTTTCTTTTGGAAAATTGACGTCTTGGCCATGATTGCTCCATTTATCTTTAAATATTTACAGTAAGATGTGTTGGTTATTCTCTGGGTTGGACAGAGAATTTGAAGGCAGATTTGGGTAAGATTAGCCCTTGGGTGATAACACTGTGCAGAGAGGACTAATAGAGCAAAGTCACACACACCGAACCTTTTTCCTTTTAAAGTGGTGCCTCGCAAGACAAATGTAATTCGTTCCGCGAGAATCGCTGTCTTGCCGAAAAAATCATCTTGTGAGATTCCCTATGGGAACCTCGCAAGACGAATGAAATTTATTCATCTTGCGAGGCATCGGTCTCGGGGGGGGGGAAATTCTTGCGAAGCATTGCCATAGAAGAAACCGTCTTGCAAGGCACCATAGTGATTGCAAAAACCAATCGTCTTGCGGGTTTTTCGTCCCACAAGGCATTCGTCTTGCGAGGCACCACTGTATTGTTTATGTATCAGCTGCATTTATATCCCACCCCATAGCTGTACTCCATCCCATTTTATCTTTGCAATAATCCCAGGCTAAGAGAGAATGAGAGACTCAAGGTCATTCATGGGTTCCGTGACTTGGTAGGGGACAGAACCCGGATCTCCCATGTTTCCGTTCAGCATTGTACCCATAAGACTATAGGGCTTACAATAAATTGTGGTGTTGACTGGCTAAAGCCCAACATGATCATGAAGCCTATATCAATGAAGTGTCCCTATTTGTTCTTGGTCAATACCCTGCCACAAAGATCACCCCCTACAGAATAACTCAAGGTTGTAAACACCTTGGTCAGGTAGGAAATTGACCCATCTGTGATAGAATCACAGAATAATTGAGTTGGAAGGGGCCTATAAGGGTTATAATTGAGCCCATTCTCTGTAATTTCTCCAAATCATAGAAGAGATGCTTTTCGGACTATAACACATAAAATCTCCCATCCAGGGGGTACTGGGAGTTGTAGTCTAAAAAAAAATACATTTTTCCAGTTTTGCCCCATTCTCCTAGCATCACATGCCAACTCTTTGTACAGTTCTTTGGAGCCCATCCATTTCGTTGATAACTGTACATTAGCACTCTATAAAATAATTTGCTGTGAAGAGTGACTTTATGATGGTTAAAATAAACATAGTATTCCATACGGAGTGCTAAATATATTCATTATCATTTGATAGATATTGAGCTAGATTTGGCAGTCTTTATAGATCTGTGACTTGAGTCATCGCTAATTTCTCCTCTACGTTGGCCATATGCAGATGTGTCATTAACAATATTTAGCTTGCTAAGTGTGAAACATTAGTTTCTCATGACGGTAAATAATGTTTTTGGTTTTCTTTTTTAAAAAAAGCCTGGATCCATATGGCTCCCCTCTCCTTATGCTTTGTGATGAACCATAAGTGCTTTATTCACTTGCAGGCAGATTTCCCGAGCAATTCTCATTACGGATCGATCGATATTGAAGTCTGGCTCAGATCAGCAGGTTAGTCCATCAATTTAATATTGACAATTTTGCTAACTCCCTCTCCTACTCCCATAAACAGTTTCCGTCCCCCCGCGTGCTTACCAACTCCACTTAAATCACCGTTTCTATTTGGATGTTTAAAATGGATTTTTTTTAAAATAAAGCAAGTAGGCTCAAATTGGTCGGATAACAGGAAAGCTTTAAGATTCAAATGCGCCAGACTAGGAAATGACCACTAAAAGAAGTCTAATGCTTGATCAATGATGTGAACTCTTCAAAAAAGACAACATTTATGTTTTGGCCACGGGCTAAGTTAGTCATACTTTGTCCCATTGGAAATCAGTGGGTCAGTTTGCTTGTTACTAGAGATGGGCATGAACTGCTGTTCTGTGGTTGATTGCATTTAAGATTTGGTAGGGAAGCTAACAAGAGCTTGCCTCTTTGCATGTTAAAAGCCACTGGTGGGCTCCTTCTGGAATACATATCTCCCAAGGAATCTGTTCTTTTTTGCTTTTCAGATTTCCATTTTGACCATTCCGCCTACGGAGTTAGGTCAGCCCGCCATTTGCCTCGTAGAACTCTGTTCTTCAACCATGACCTGCATGAAGAACACGTGTGAGTACACGTTGCTTTGACTTTCTTTTTCTATCCTTTTTAAAACAGGAAAGTGACGGGTGGGGCCGAGGACAAAGCGGTGGGATCGAAATGACCGCTCTGTTTTAAGCTTAAAGTACTTATCTTTAGTCACCCCACACCTTAGGAGAGGCATGCCCACCTTTTAGAAAGGGGAACTCTACAAAAGTTATGAAACCTGCCAAGGGTGGTGACATGTGGCGGGGGGGAGTGTATGGACTGAAGGAACTGGGAAGGGTTAGGCTTGAGAATAGGAAGATGGAGGGGAGGTAGGATAGCACTTTTCATATACAGTGGTGCCTCGCTAGACGATGATAATCCATTCCACTGAAATTGCTGTCTAGCGAAATCATTGTCTAGCAAAAAGCAAATTGTCGTCTAGCGAAAATCGGTTTGCGAAGCAGGGACCAAACATTGTCCAGCGAAATTCCCCCATAGGAATCACTGTTTTTGACACATTGATAAAAAGTCAATGTCTAGCGAAAAAACTGTCATGCGGGGCAACTGTCTAGCGAGGCACCACTGTACTTGAAAGGTAGTCATACAGAGTTGGGCAGGGTCTGTTTTCAGTCATCCCAGAGTGCAGGACGTGTAAGAATAGGCTCAAGGTAAAGAAAGCCAGATTTAGACTGACTATCAGGAAAATGACTTCACTGTTAGAGCAGTACAACAATGGGACCCATGAACTCAGGAGGTGGTGAGCGCTCCAACGCCTGAGATAATTCAAGAGAAAGCTAGACAGCCATCCTTCGGATATACTTTGATTTGGGTTCCTGCACTGAGTAGGTTGTGAGAGTCGATGGGCTTATAGGCCCTTTCCAACTCAATTATTCTACGATTCTAGGACTCCTCTCAAAAAAAAAAAGCCTGGAGCTGTCAGATCTGCTTTGATTTGGGTTCCTGTCTTGAGCAGGGGTTTGGACTCAATGGCCTTCTAGGCCCCTTTCCAAGGTTTTCCAGGTAGAGGATACTCAAGAAGTGGCTGGCCCTTCCCTTCCTCTAGAGGGCAGCCTTGGGACGGTGCCGCTTGCCCAAGGCTACCCAGGCTGGCTTTTCTCCCAGGAGGCCCAGCGGGGGATCAAACTTCCAATCTCAGGCTCGACAGCCAGAGACTTAAACCCCTGAGCTATTTGGCCAAGCTATTGAATACAGAAGAAGCTTCCTTAATCCACCCCAGATCACTGACCCTCTTCCATTTTTTTGCCTATAACATCTGTTCACAGCTGTCCAAGAAAGCATTTTGTTGCATCTTAAAAACCCACACGTTGCCTTGATCTTTTGCTAATAGGCTTGATTTGGGGGAAACGCTGGCTGTTGTGTGAGCAGAACACTGGACTTGGTCAACCTTTGGCATCATTCAGATGAAAGAAGAAATCAGATTTTAAAAAAACAACACTTTTCATCATCATCATTTTAGAACTGCAGAACTACAAAGCACCCTATGGATCATCCAGTCCAGCCCCTGTCAAGGAGGCCCAGAGGGGAATCGAACTCCCAACCTCTGGCTCTGGAAGCAGAGACCTAAAACAGTGGTCCCCAACCTTGGGCCTCCAGATGTTCTTGGGCTTCAACTCCCAGAAATCCTGGCCAGCAGAGTTGGTGGTGAAGGCTTCTGGGAGTTGTAGTCTAAGAACATCTGGAGGCCCAAGGTTGGGGAACCACTGACCTAACCTACTGATTCCTGGTTATGACTGCTCTCTGAATATTTATTTCACTTTTCTTATCAGAAGTGAATACATTTGTTAGTTTTAGAGTTTTCTAGCTTGGCTGCTGTTCTGCTGTGATCAGTTGAACACAAGGACCGGATAGGAGAGATCCGGAGCTCGGAAAGCTTTCTCTCTTTCTCTCTTTTGGGACGACAGCCTCCAGGTGTCGCTTCAAGCATGGCTCCTTGACGAAGCGTTCTGGGTATTGTCATCCACCCTCTGGAGAGATCGCAGAGACCGGATCCCCACGGGGCCGTGCAGTTCGTGGCCGCCTTTTGTTCTGTGGGGGGCAACTGAGTGGTGCATCTTAAGAGAACTCAAAGAGAGTGGATGGCACATCTCGTTGATTTTTCTTCCCCCGTGTGCTGCCTCTTGGTCCCAAAGTATGGCATGTTGAGGACTTGTCTCACCATCTAGGACAGGGTAGAATGAGCAGCACTGCCAGTGGTCGCTCCTTGGAAGACAAGAGAGGGTCATCGGACCATTTCCCTGTCTTCTCCCCGAATCTGCAGGCAGTGCAGAGCCTTTGAATGTGAATATAGTAGCCATATCACAAGGAACGGTATGTAAGTGAGCAAGCAGCCTAGCAGTGGTAGAGGGGAAATGTTCACCAGCATAGACATGATGAAGGGTAATGCACAAGGGACGGACTTTCTGCCCCTCTTTGAACCCCTAATCGGGTCATCAGTTTTATTTTCCATATGGTTTGCTTGTCTAGACGTCTTTACAAAGCTATGCAAACTGTGCCATTGCTGACCTTCCTTTCCATCCCATGATGGCAGTTGACAGCACTGGCCCTTAACAAGACTGTGGGTGAGAACATACGTAAGCATCCTGACAGTAGATAAGGCACCCATAGGCTGAAATCCTGTTGTTGAACATAGTAAGTCACACTAGAGTATGGCTATTGAATCAGTTGGGGAATTGGTCAATCAGTTCCTCTTTTAGTTTTAACTGAATCAAATGTGCTTACTCTAGTTGTGGCTTAATGTGCTAAGCAACTGGTTTTCAGCCATAGTGTGATCGGCATTTGTTAGCGTATGCAAGCTTTGCCTCAAAAGTTTCCCTGTGTGCTCTGCCTTTGATGTTTCTTCACATTATATTTCTCCATTGGGGATTAAATGAGATGTAACTCCTTCTTGTAATCTGAGATGTAAGGAGAGACTGGTAGTGTAGTGAAGTTGGTTGCATCGCCTGCAGTTGGAAGAGGGGAGCTGCACTATGAGTAAAGATCTGGGCCATTGCAAGTCATTGATGCAGTACCACCGGTGCCACATGCTTCCCCCCAGCTGGCTTCCCCACTCACCAGCCAGCACACCCTGCTTGACTCCTGCTCTTTGCGTGACCGTCCAGTTGCAGCAGGAGCAAACACTTCCCCTCTCTGCCTCCTCCAGCAGCTGACTGCTCCAAGGCAGTGCTGCAGGAATCCCTGCCCTGCCTCCTGGTCTGAGTGGGCAGCTGCTGGAGGAGGCAAAGAAAGGAAGTCTGTGCTCCTGCTGCAACTGGATGGTCATGGAGGTAAGAAGCATGCGCCAGCTGGTAAGTGGCGGAGCTGGCCAGGAGGGTGGGAGAAGGGAACGTGCACCACCACCAACAGCTTGCAACAACCTGGCACGAAGCGACTTGTACCCATCTCTAACTATGAGTCTCATTCTTACTTCTGGTATGAGGGAAGAAGGGTTCTCGCAACTGCACTAATACTCCAGTCCAAGAGTCTTCTTTGTAGATGTAGTCCCACTCACCGGGAGGTTTGGGTTCTTCAGGGGGATCTGTGTTTGCCTAGAAGCTCTTGTTCAGTTCTTCCAAGGCATCTCCTGGGGCCCCCTCTTTTTCAGTCTCCTCTTCCCTGGTCTGGACCCCTTGCTCCACCTTCTCCTTCCCCCCCTTACTGATGGTGTCTCTGCCTCCAGCATCTCCCTTAAAGCTCCCTGGGGGTTGTCCTTCTCCTCTAGGGATCACTTCTCTCCTGGGCTTTCTGCCCAAGTCTTCCCCTCTAGAACCTCTGCCTGGGTTCCGTGTTCTGGTGTCCCAGAGGCCTTATGTCCAGTTTCCCTTGGGAATGGTTGTACTAAGTGGGCATCCCCTAGGTCTATGGAGGAGCTCACCCTCCAGAATTCCTTGGATCTGGGCGGTGTTGAGGTGGCCCACTGACACACATTTTTGAAATACGCACCGACGACACTTTGACTCAGAACATTAACTTATAGGTAAGGAGGTAACGATCTAGAAAGCAACATGAAGTTGAACAGATCATTAGACGACATCTGGAAATCTGTCCATTTCTTGTGCTTCGTCTTCCCCTCCGGTTCATCTCTTCGGTATATACTTGCCTACCCCACCTCTTTATAACTAAAAATTCTTGAGGCCTTTTGAAAGAATAGCTTGAAATAAAAGTAATTGTTGCACATCAAATGAATTTAGTATAAACAGAAGCTAAAGAAGAGAAAGAAAATCAAGCAAAGACATAATCGCATCTGTAAAAGTAATAGAGGCGTCTCGGCTCAAACGTTTGGGCTGATCTGAAGCCGGAAGAGGAAAGAAGGTCTTGATCTGGCTTCTCAGATTCAATGAAACAGGAACCAGACACGCTCTCTGAGGGGGAACCACCCCATCTTTGAGTTGCCACCGCAGCAACACAGTAGAGTACAGTGGTGCCCCGCTTGATGATTACCCCGCTTGACGCTGAAATCACTTCACAACGTTTTTGCGATCGCAATAGTGATTGCAAAACGATGTTTCAAATGGCAATTTTCATTTTACGACGATCGGTTCCCTGTTTTGGGAGCCGATTCTTCGCATTACAACAATCTAAAAACAGCTGATCATCGGGTTTCAAAATGGCCGCCCGCTGTGCAAAACGGCTCCCTGCTGTTTTCAGGACTGATTTTTCGTTTTACAGGCACCGGAAAATGGCTGCCCTATGGAGGATCTTCGCTGGACAATGGGGTATTTCGCCCATTGGAACGCATCCGGTTTTTAATGCGTTTCAGTGGGTTCCCCCCGCTTGACGACGATTTCGCTCTACAGCGATTTTGCTGGAACGTATTATTGTCATCAAGCAGGGTACCACTGTACTCAGCGTGCTGTACTGGATCAGGGGATGGACTAGAACTCTGGAGACCAGGAGTTTGAATCTCCTCTTGGCCATGGAAGCTCTCTAGAGGAGTGGGATTGGTAAAACCACTCCTTAAATATCTCACTTACTCTGAAAGCCCTGTTAAGGTCCCTGTAAGTCAATTCCAACTTGACAGCACACAGCCAACTCCTTTTTTTCAGTTGTTGTCTACCTTACCTCCCGGGAGGGGAGGTGCTCCTTGAGAAGGCTCTCAGAGGATGATGTGAATAATGAGCAGGTTCATGAATGGGAAGGAGGTGACTATGTCTTATACCCTAAAAGGCTTCAAGGTTAAAGTGGGCACTTTGCTTTGGCTCTAGAAACAGACAGGGTGCAGTGCCAGTGAACTGCTGTTAAACGAGAGCAGTGTGTATTGACTGATGGACCCCCAATCCATCATCCGGCAGCAGAATTCATAATTAAAGGCAAAGACTAATTTTGCATATTAATGGTTGAACTAGTGTTTAAAACATTTTACTCATGACTTGATTTCAGTTGATGTTGTTGGTTTTATTTTTTAATTATCACTGCCTGGAATGGAAGTGCTTTTAAATTACAAAGCTGTCTGCAATTTTAGATGTAGTTCAGGGTGGCTTCACATGACCAGAGTTCTTTGTTTGTTTGTTTAAGTGTAATAAGCAGGTTTATCTTATACTATCATTGTTTTAGAGAACTATTGTCTCAAAGTACCTTGTGATTTTCCCACTGCAAAAGAAGGCTGGCATGAGAGCATCGTAGGATTTCCATGTAATAGACAAGACAGCTTCATGGCATGGAGTTCTGAACCTCTTTAACTTGGTGGAATGAAACAGATTTGAACATTTGATGCAGCCTTTGAACAAAGAGAAGCTGCTGACATACGATGAGTATGAAGTTTGCTTTTCAGCAAATGCTTCCAGATACTCACTCCTTTAAGAGACTTCATGCACTAAATATAGGGCTGGCCATACCATTGTGCAGCATGAGACAACCATTTCTAGAGACTGATATTCATTCATTCATTCATTCATTCATTCATTCATTCATTCATTCATTCATTCATTCATTCATTCAACACAGATAAAAAAAGATTTAAAAACACTACATTAGCATCACACTTAAAAAACTATTATAGGTGAAAAAAATTAAAGAATAAAAATGACAAACATTTGGTGGCACTTTAAAGACTAACTATTTCTAGAGACTGGTATTCATTCATTCATTCATTCATTCATTCATTCATTCATTCATTCATTCATTCATTCATTCATTCAACACAGATAAAAAAAGATTTAAAAACACTACATTAGCATCACACTTAAAAAACTATTATAGGTGAAAAAAATTAAAGAATAAAAATGACAAACATTTGGTGGCACTTTAAAGACTAACTTTTATATTTTAATAAAGTGAGCTTTCTGATGAAGTTCACGAAAGCTCACATTAAAAAAATATAAAAGTTAGTCTTTAAAGTGCCATCACGCTTTTGTCTTTTTTAAATTCTTTTTTTGTTTGTTTTCACCTACAATACTTGCACAGACTCACACGACTACCCCTTCTACAAAAAACAATTGTATATTGAGATTTAAATCAAGTTTAAAAACAATTCGAAAACATTTAGACACCTGTCGGTTAGAAAACATCCCTGAAATACAGTATATAGTTTAAATGATAAGAAAAAGGAAAGGTTTGTCAAAGTCTTATATCTGGATAGCTTGCTTGTTTGTTTAATAATTCTAGAAACTTTAAGAGCTTCTTATTTGGGTTTGTCCACTTTCCTTTTCCAACCAAATTATGTGGTGGTCTATTTTAACAGTAATACTAAATATGCTGAATTCCAGGCTCAGTGTGTTTATAATCACTTTTTCATTCTATTCTTTTGACAGATTTAGTTCATTTAACTTGTTCTTCTGTTAAAACTGCGAAAGAAGACTTGGAGCCTGCTGTACAACAGTTATTCAGTGAGTTTACAGAAACAGGTAAAAATCAAAGGCACTAAACAAATTTTCAATCTTCTATTCCAACAAATAAGTCCTTTAAGCTCAAAATTATTTACACCCAATTAGTGTCAGAAGATAGGTCAAAAGACTTTTGCGAAGGCCACTCTGTGAATGCATGTTTCATGTGATTGTTCCTTTCCCTTTTAGTAAATGATTCACAGAACAGAACAAGCTTCTACTCTTGTCTTTTCTGTTCTGCTTTCTGAAAGCAGTTGCTCCTACTCTCAAGTCATTTTGGGGCAAGTCTCCAAAAATGACTTGGACTACAACAACTATTATGCCTAACTATTGCCTGTGTCCCCCTTTACGGATTGCTGCCTTGTCATGGCGAAGGGGCTTGAGTAATTCAGAGAAGCTATGGGCTATGCCATGCAGGGACACCCAAGACAGACAGGTCATAGTGGAGAGTTCTGACTAGACATGATCCACCTGGAGCAGGAACTGGCAAGCCACTCCAGTATCTTTGCCAAGAATACCCCATGAACAGGAAAAAAAAAAAGGCTCAAAACTATGACTCCAGAAGATGAGCCCCTCAGGTCAGAAGGCGTCCAACATGCTACTGAGGAAGAACGGAGGACAAATACAAGTACAGGTAGCTCCAGTGCTAATGAAGTGGTTGGGCCAAAGCCGAAAGGATGCTCAATTTCTATTTGCCTTTGAATTTTTTTTTTTGGTAAAGAGGATTTAGAGTCAGAAAATATTGAAACTGTGAGGTGAAACATACAGAAGAAATATGAAGTCCCAAGGCTTTTACTAAGGATAGTGAGGAATTTAAATGAGACGGAAAGGTTATGCATCCTGAATATCTCTTTGGGATGTTCTCTCACTGTCATGGTCATGGCATCTACTGCACTGCTCAGAGAACATCCAGGGACTCTTTCCCCCAGAAGTACCTCTGACATTGTGGGTGGCAGCCATGCCGAGGACACATCTCTGCAGGGGCCAAATGTTGTCTGCCTTGTTTCAAACCATGTTGTTACAGCAAACCCCACGAGTGGAAATGTTAAAACATTTCAGGACTGACTTCGAAGGAACTGTAAAGGATACTGCATCAATAACTGTAAGAAAATATCTGAAGAGAGTGGAAACTGCCACTCTTCTCATAGTCTTCTCATCGGCAACTTAGAAATGGTCCAAGTTCCATTGTTACAAACAGCTGCCAAGTATTCAGAGTTTGTTGGTGTAGCAATTTGGCTTCACAGCCCGGCATTTATGAGCCCATTGGTTCATTTTCTATAAAAGCCCTTTGCTCCATCTCTTGGTCTGCACTTGACCACACATCTTTTTAAAGAATTCTGTAGAACTCAAAAACTCACTCTATTTCTGTCAGATTAGCAATCCTCTCTGTATACTTCAGTCATCCTACATTTATAATAGCATTTTTAATATGACAACTGTGGCTTCCACCGAGGTCATGAATGTTCATATGCTATCTGCATGGACAGTGGCCAGAGGATTGGAAAAGATCAGTCTACATCCCAATCCCAAAGAAGGGCAGTGCCAAAGAATGCTCCAACTACCATACAATCACACTCATTTCACATGCTAGCAAGGTTATGCTCAAAATCCTACAACGTAGGCTTCAGCAGTATGTGGACTGGGAACTCCCAGAAGTACAAGCTGGATATCGAAGGGGCAGAGGAATTAGAGATCAAATTGCTAACATGCGCTGGATTATGGAGAAAGCAAGAGAGTTCCAGAAAAACATCTATTTTTGCTTCATTGACTATGCAAAATCCTTTGAGTGTGTGGACCACAGCAAACTATGGCTCCCTGCTTATTTAACTTATATGCAGAATACATCATGTGAAAGGCTAGACTGGAGGAATCCCAAACTGGAATTAAGTTTACCCAAAGAAATATCAACAACTTCCAATACGCAGATGATGCCACTCTGATGGCAGAACGTGAGGAGGACTTAAAGAACCTCTTAATGAGGATGAAAGAGGGGAGTGCAAAAAATGGTCTGACGCTCAACATAAAAAAAACTAACTTCATGGCCACTAGTCCCATCAACTCCTGGGAAATTGAAGGGGAGATATGGAGGCAGTGACAGATTTTACTTTCTTGGGCTCCATGATCATTGTAGATGGGGACAGCAGTCACAAAATTAAAAGATGTCTGCTTCTTGGGTGGAAAGCGATGACAAACCTAGACAGCATCTTAAAAAGCAGAGATATCACCTTGCCGGCAAAGGTCTGCATAGTCAAAGCTATGGTTTTTCCAGTAGCTATGTATGGAAGCGAGAGCTGGACCATAAGGAAGGCTGACTGTCGAACAATTGATGCTTTTGAATTGTGGTGCTAGAGGAGGCTCTTCAGAGTCCCCTGGACTGCAAAGAGAACAGATCTATCCCTTTTGAAAGATATCAACCCTGAGTGCTCACTGGAAAGACAGATCCTGAAGCTGAGGCTCCAATACTTTGGCCATCTCATGAGAAGAGAAGACTCCCCGGAAAAGACCCAGATGTTAGGAAAGTGTGAGGGCAAGAGGAGAAGGAGACGACAGATGACGAGATGGTTGGGCAGTGTCATCGAAGCGACCAACATGAATTTGACACAAGTTCGGGAGGCAGTGGAAGACAGGAAGGCCTGGCGTGCTCTGGTCCAGGGGTTACGAACAGTGGACATGACTTAACGACTAAACAACAACAATTGCCTGTGTCATATGGAATTAACAAGAGCTGCATCCTGGAAGACCACAAATTGCTTAGCTTAGTTCTAGGGCGACCTGTCTTCTACTTCACATGCAGTCCACCTGCCAAGCACGTTTTGCTTTAAAACAGTATCCTCTTTAAGCTCAGCTCTCATTAGTAGTCAGCTAGTATGCCCAATGGAGTTAGTCATATATTGACTACCATGGCCAGTGACACATTATCTCCACCAGCAGCCAACTGTAGCAGAAGCTATGGTCATCATGAATCTCCAAGGCAGGGCAGGAAGGACAGAAGAAATCCTGCACAATGCGCTTCTTTCCGGGGTTCTTGGTTATAGGAAGAATCTAAGTGGAGGTGTGACAAAGACCAAAAGGGGAAAAGCCATCATGAATGGATTCCCATGTAATAAAGAACTTCACTCCCCAACCTGGGTTCCATTGGTAGCCATGGTCCAAAGTTAAATTAGGGACTGGTTTTTGAAATCTGTATCAGTAGGGAGCAGAGCTCAGGTACAATTCTTTTTGAAGAAGTCCTAGAAATCTCCTGCGATTTTGATCGCTGGGAGATTCTGGGACATGCAGTGCATACTCCCAACACTGGAGGTATTCAAGAGAAAGTTAGACAACCACCTGTTAGATATACAGTGGTGCCCCGCTAGACGCTTACCCCACTGAATGACGAAATCGCTTGACGATTACTTTTTTGCGAGGGCAATTGCGATCGCAAAACAATGTTTCCTATGGGGGATTTTCGCTTTACGTTGATTAGGTCCTTGCTTCGCGAACCGTTTGTTCGCAAAACGATGATTTTCCGGTTCCGCAAAATGTCTGTTTTCCAGACAGGAGCTTCGCAAAACAGTGATTTTAAACAGTTGATCGGCGGTTCTCTATGGGGGATCTTCACTGGATGATGAGGTATTTCCCCATTGGAACGCATTAACTGGTTTTCAATGCATTCCAATGGGGTTTTTTTTTTGCATGACGATGATTTTACTGTGCAGCGATTTTAACGGAACAGATTATTGTCGTCATGCGAGGCACCACTGTACTTTGATTTGGATTCCTGCACTGAGCTGGGAGTTGGACTTGATGGCCCTTCCAACTCAATGATTCTATGATTCTATGATTGTCTATTTATAAACTGGCTTTCATATGTTCACGCACATAACCTGAGGTATACAATAATTGGGGGAAAAGGCATAAAAATGCACACATACGTGCTTATCCCACTTCCTTTTTAAAGATACATTTGTAAAATGGCTCACAATAAAATTTCAATAAAAAAACAAAGCCCAATTTAAAATATGCAGATCAGATAGTAGAGGGGGCAGACAATTGAGAGTGATACAATAAAGTAGCTAATAAAGCAGCAGATGGTAACGGATAAAGCAAGCTGAACATCACTTCTGAATAGATAAAACCAATGTCATCATTAAAAGCTTGGACAGATAAAAATGGTCTTAAACTAAACTGGTGTTTAGGATCAAAGCAGAGAATGTTCCCGCTGTGCCGCTCTGGAGAGATTATTCCATAAACAGGTTGGCACTTCCAAAAGGGTCTTCCTCCTAGTTGTTAGTTGTCACCTGTTTAACATCTAAAGCTCGGGCACCTGGGGAATCTAGTTGTCCAGAAGCATAGTAAAAACCTTAAGGTTTTCGCTTCCACCGAAATAGAAGGAGCACACACCTGCCAAGGCTCCAATAGGAAGGAGCATGGAAAAAATTTAAAAATTAGGAGCCACCATGGAAAAAAAGTCCTGTCCTTTACTGTGAGGGTCAACCTTGCATCTGCAGTGAATGGAATCAAGAACAAGTCTTCCTTAGTTGGCTGAACAGAAGGTCAGTTCAGAATAGGATACTTCTTAGATTATCCAGAATATCAAGGGGACCGTGAGGGTGAAAAGGTTCTGACTAGGTATCCCTGGATGTCCACCAGAGCTTGGAAATTTACTTTCAAAATAGTAAGCATAGAAAATACACTGAAGCTTTCCATAACTGTGAAACGGTAAGGTGACAGTTGTGAGTCCTAGACCATCATGCTATCAGTCCTCAGTTCCTTATCACTTTGCCCCGTCATTATATTCATTCTTTTCCAGAGTAACTTTCCAAGCTCTTACGTCCAGTTAGACATCCATCCGTCAGTCTCACTTGCATGCACCATTAACACGCCGCATAAATAACACACAGTCTAGGACCTGATTTAAAAAAAAGAGAAAGCTTGATGTCATACTGAAGACTCGTTAGACCATAATATTTCCCAATGAGTTCGTCCAGACATTTCATACAGATTGATGGGCAGACAGGAGGGGAGGGGAGGCAGACTCTGGGATTCTTAAGGCCAGATTCCACTGTGCTGGTTGAAAAAATATAATATCAAAACTGCCAGTGGCCAGTTTTCCAGGTGGCTAAACCTGTTTGTTGTAGGTCCAGGTTCCTTTGTTTTAGTTTACTTTGAAAAATAAGCGAGAAGCACCACAGCTGGAGGCTTCTAGAAGCAATAATTCTCTTTCTCTCCATGGTCATGGTGGGGTCTGTGATGACCAAAGAGCTGTGGAAAGGACTTCGGTACCCAAAATAATTTCTACTCCAGTGCAGATGTAGAAAAATCTGGGTGGCACCAGACATGCCCCACGGGACAGCAGCCAAGAGTTAGAGCAACCATCTCCCGTTACCACTTTCTTAGACCGATCCCCAGGAGCACTTTACAGTGCTGTACTCTTGGCTGTAGCTACTTGGGAGTCACACAGTAGGACTGGAGTTGTTGGAACCAAAGTGAACCTACACCAATGTTTGTTTTTTCCACACTAATGTTATGAGCACAGAGAAGAACAGGCCGCCGATGTCCGTGTACTGTATAACCTCACCATGTACCCTGGAAGATCTGATGCTGGCTGCCTTAAATGCTCATTATTGGGCAATATTGATCTGATATGTTTATTAATTATATGGCGGTGCTTCTGACACAAAGAAGGGAAAGGAAGATCTCTGTGAAGGAGTTCAGAAGTTGGAATCAAGCCATCCCTTCCGTGACTCATCAACGCTTAGGTCTGAATCCACCAGGCAGTGCTAGCTAGAACAGATGATCTACGGAATGAATTCCCTTTGTGTTCAGTGTTGACTCAGCATTCAGTGATCGATTCAGACCTTTTGCACACGGAGGTTCAGAAGACCAACCTCCTTTATATAGCTGTAAGGATTACAGCTATACATATTTTGAATTGTGATTTTGAATTGTGGTGCTGGAGGAGGCTCTTGAGAGTCCCCTGGACTGCAAGGAGAACAAACCTATCCGTTCTAAAGGAAATCAACCCCGAGTGCTCACTGGAAGGACAGATCCTGAAGCTGAGGCTCCAAGACTTTGGCCATCTCATGAGAAGAGAAGACTCCCTGGAAAAGACCCTGATGTTGGGAAAGTGTGAGGACAAGAGGAGAAGGGGACGACAGAGGACAAGATGGTTGGACAGTGTCATCGAAGCGACAAACATGAATCTGGCCCAACTCTGGGAGGCAGTGGAAGACAGGAGGGCCTGGCGTGCTCTGGTCCATGGGCTCACGAAGAGTCGGACACAACTAAACGACTAAATGACAATGAAGGATTACAAAAGAACTGATGTGAAGGACCTGGGATCATCTGTACAAATGTTATGCATTTCAGTCATAGTAATGCTAATTATATGTTGATAATTGGAATAATATATTCACTGTGGTTAATGCTGGGAAAGAAATCTGTCAATAGGCAGTCAGTCTAATGTTTGTTCCTTAAGGACAAGAAATGTAGAGTTGGGTGAAATGGAACATTCGATTGCACCAGATAAGAATCTGGTTCTGCGTGTATTTTAAACTTGTGAGAGGCCTTGAGTGGGAATTATACCAGCTCCTACCAGAGTGGCCCTCATTTTGGAGTTTTGTGGAACTTTTTGCTCCATATGAGAACAGATCGCGCTAAAGAACAATGGGGTTTATTTACAAAGTTTACTGTTGTTTCTTCCCGAGCTTTATTAGTAGGCCAGAGAGACTCGTTCACATCTGAACGAAATCTGTTCCCTGTTGCTCCCAATATAGCTCCTGTAATTCGACTTAATTTTTTTTTCTTTAAAAAAAGCTGTTTTGTAGAGATCTTAGGGACCCAAACTAAGAAAAAGCAGTTAGCGTGCCGCTTAGTGTCATCTTGTCCCCCTCCTCCCTGCCTCTCTTTGCTTAACATTAATCTTAATGCTTAAAGTGATCTGGTTTTGAAGTGATGTATTGTTTGGAAGCTGCCTGAAATTCTTTCGGAGGAACTCTGTGATCAGAAAGGTCCTCAGGTGCACTGAGGCACTGAAAAGCTAGTTTTCACTGACACATAAGCCTTTTTATCATCAAGATGAGGTAGTGGTCGTATTTTAATTAAAATGTCAGAACAAATACTGTTGGAGTTATTGAAAATGAATCACCAGATAAAGCGATCACTGGGCCATGGCAGGTCAGAGAGGCAAAGTCACCTGCAGGAAGAGGACTCTATTCATTTTCCTGACTAAATGAAGAAGTAACTTTTTTTTAATATGTAGAAGTCACAACTTTTAATAATATTTTTAAAAGAACCCTTACCACAGCGAGTGCCACTTTTTCTCTCTCTCAGCTGAATATCTCCTCCAAACAATATCATTTTTAAATTAAATAATATGAAGAGGAACTTTGACATTATGGGTGTCTATGCCCGCACTTGAATCCTTAGTCTGGTGTAGTTTTTAAAACTATATTTATTTATTAGATTTTTATGTCTCCCAGCTAGCAAATGCCTTTGGGATAGCTTTGAAATGTGAAAATTTAAAATAGTCAATGAAATAACAACCAGAGGCAGGGAAAGTTACATTTTAGGGCTAGAATTCCTAGAATAACCCAGCCATCATAGCCAAATGAACAAAAAACAGCCAAAGTTATAAGACAGGAAACAGTGAGTTTTTTAAAAGGCAGCAATTAAGAAAAAGTGACCAAAATCCTACTGGCGTCACGCAAACAACGTATGTTTTGCAGGTGGATTGCCTCAAGTTAGAATGTTGTCATAGACATTATTTGTTGTCTGCTGAGTCAGGCAACTTGGTGTGTGCCAGATAATGCCTACACTGCGTTGTTGTTGTTTTTCAACCTCAAGATAATCCATCTCTACAGGTTATGGCATTTGTGTTATGGTTGTGGGGTAAGCAACAGGATTTGGGCCAATCAAAAATAACTAGTTTGAGATAGAACACCAACCAGAAGAAGAAAAACGCCGTAGCCTGACATCTAAGTGAACGCAAGTAGGGTGCCCGGTGGATCTTCCTAGGGTAGGTGTGTCCTAGGTGTTGAGAAGGCTCCTGTAGTCACCCATTACACGATTGTCAGTGGCCCCACCCAGGCAAGATCCTTGGGAGATAATCTGAGCTATCAGGCAAGATCATGTGACAGAAAGCACCCCTTTACGTAGACTGGCTCTGTGCCATTTAGCATTTTAAAGATCAGCGTCAACACTTTGCATCTTTTAAATTAATCCTGTTAATTTCAGTGGATCTAATTATGACTCAGTCTTTATCCAAACCCTGTTTCCTCTCTTTATAAAGAGAGAGTAAGGTTATGGGTAGTAATTCTCTCTGGAACGTCTATCCATAACCATCGTTGCTTGAAATACACCAACTGGAATCCAATTAAGAAGTTATGCTGGCACAATTGCATTGGCATAATTTTAGCTATAAATAAATACTGAACCATTTAAAAAATCCACCAAAGAACACGTGGCGCTTAAAGAAATTAGATCTCACTTAACAGCAGCAAAGTACAAACAAATATAAGTATCAACAAGAAGGGGCCCTTCTAGTCCTTTCCAGTACAGTGATGCCTCGCTAGATGATGATAATCCGTTCCACTGAAATCACTGTTTAGCGAAATCATTGTCTAGCGAAAAGCATTTCCCTATTGGAATGCATTGAAACCTGTTTAATGTGTTCCAATGGGGAAGAATTGTCATTGTCTAGCGAAGATCGGCGATAGGAAAGCCGCTTTGTGAACCGCCGATCAGCTGTTTAAATCGCTGTCTTGCGAAGCTTAGGTCCCCAAAACACCTGTTTTACGAGCGCAGAGGGAGCTGTCAAAACCGTCGTCTAGTGAAAATCGGTTTGTGAAGCAGGGACCAAACATTGTCCAGCGAAATTCCCCCATAGGAATCACTGTTTTGCGAATCACTATAGCGATTGCAAAAAGTCAATGTCTAGCGAAAAAACTGTCATGCGGGGTAACTGTTTAGCGAGGCACCACTGTAAATATTTTTAACCTCATGCCAAAACGAACGTATTTCTACAGAATCTGGGCACCACCACAGAGAAGAACCTTTTCCTTACCTTTCAAAGAGGAAGGTTCTTGAGCAGGACTTCAGATGAGTTGCTTTTCAACATTTTACTGAGCCATGAAAAGACCCACCACAGCTGAATGATATGATTTAAATGTGTGTGTTTTTTTCATAATTTCAGTAAGTGAAGGCACAGGAGAAGGTCAAAAGCCTCAGATTCTGTGGTCGGTCTATTTCAACATGAGAGACTCTTCTGGTATAGACAGGGCTTCGTACGACAACTTGCCTTCCAATCTCTACGTTTGTTCTGGGCCTGACAGTGCTTTGGGGAACGACTGTGCTGTCAAACAGGTAAGAAAGTCTCGAGGTTTTTCTGTGTTTTTTGGCTGAACGTTGGTAATAGAAGGAATGGTGCTAGTGGAGTATTCCCAAATAGAGGTGGGCATGAACCGGTGGTTCGTGCTGGTTCGTTTATCAGCTGAATGAGTGTTTGGCATTTCAGAGTCCCACCTCCTCCGAGGGTGCCCACTCATAGTAAGCACCCAGAGAAGGCAGGGCAGGGAAGCCAGGCCACTGCCTCGGGGGCGGGGGGGAGAGACACCAAAAACCTGTTTGGCCGATAAACAAACTTCCAAACTGGCAGTTCATGCCCATCTCTATTCCCAAACCAGACATTTGAAATGACATCTGAGTCCAGGAATTAAAGGCCACCCAGAGGCCACTTTGAATCCATGATCTTGGGCTCAGAAGGAAGAGATGCCATGGAAGAATTGGGGAGGAGAACAGAAGCCCTCTACTCCCTAGACTTATCGACGCAGAGGTGGTGTCCTGTTGCTTGGTCCAGATCCGTTCAAATGCACCAGGAGAACACTGCAGGGAGATGAACGGAGGTGGGGAATTCTGCATCCGCCTCAGAGTTTTTCCAAGGCATTTCCTCGAACTTCCCCATCTCTAGGAATAAAAGAATTTCTTTCTTCCTTTAGCTGCATCAAAACGCTGCTCTTTTTGAGGGGGGGGCGGGTAAATCATTTATTAATATCATAGAAGCTGTACGCTTCCTCTTAAGTCTTTGATCTTTTTTTATCCTCTTAACAGGCTAGTTATTGCCTTGTAAAACAAAATTAAGACGACTATTAGCCTTTGAAAATACGGATCAGATGTGAGCGTTTGGGCTGCATCAGCTGTTCTTTTCAAAAAGCCCATTGATAATGGCCATTGAAAAAAAAATATCTGCAGCTGTTTAAAATTTCTTGCATATATTCTCTCCGGCCTGAGTCATTCAAAATTTAATGGCTGCTCTAGCCTTTTGAACTTCAGAAGTTGGAAAAGTTAGCCTTGCACACTCAGTTTGGACACAGAGCAACATGGTTTGAAATGCTTTTATCTTCTTGCATCCAGTTCTTTACTTTTTTATAAAGACTATTCACTTCACATCAAGCTGGTATTTTATACTCTCCCTTTGAGATTAGTGAGACTGGAAACGGTCATCTTTGGTGGCATCGCAAACTATAAAGTTCCCCCATGGTTTCCAGTCTTTTTAAAGTCAAAAACCAGAGTTTGGAAGTTACAAATTACAAGTGACACCGTTACCTTTAGCTAATTCCTTTTTTTTTTGGGGGGGGGGGGTAACAAAGTCACATTTCAAAGGCAACACAAGAAGCAAAATCTAAGCTACTTCATTTGTGTGATTAATTGCATTTTAGTTACTTTCAAAAGTTACAGTTAGAGGGGCATATTCAGAGATATTTTGATAGGTTTTATGTCATTCCCTTTCAGTGGTTCTCAGCCTTGAGGACTGAGATGTTCTTGGACTACAACTCCCATAAATCCTGGCCAGCACAGCTAGTGGCGAAGGCTTCTGGGAGTTTTAGTCCAAGAACATCTGGAGACCCAAGGTTGGGAACCAGTGCTATTAGTCCTGAGCTCCCCCCCCCGAACAAAAAGGCGACAAGCAACACAAAAAGTAATGTAACCAGCTACTTTTCAAACATCGGAATCAATAATGACAGTGGGTGAGATTTCAAACAGTCAATGAGTAACAGGAAGGTGTTACATTAAGCTGAACTTTCCTAACTTTAGCCAAAGATGCAAGAGGGCTTAGATTTACTGTACTCTTTGTTTAAAAACCGGCAAGTCCTTGTGGCCTGAGGAGGCCAGGAAGAGGAACTTCGGCAGTTGTATGAGAAGTATGAAAAAATAACTGTGTCCCCAGCGTGTTTTCTGGAGGCATGCAATGCTACCACCTTGTGGACGCAGTGCAGTCAGTACCTCAAAGGGAGACCTCGTGGGAACCCTATAGATGCCACATGAGTTTTCTCCTCTTGGAAGACAGAGGTGAGATATACTCATAAAGATTTACTTTCAGGCGAAAAACGCCAGTGAGACTTCTGAGTGGGAGAAAATACCACCTTTGCCAAAATGCAAAGATAAAAGTCACATGCCCCACATTCTCACTAAAAGGGAGAATGGGCAGAAGAACTAGTACAAGATGGTCTGTTTGCTAGCGAAAGGGAAATCTTGTACAAATTGGTTTTGTTTTAT